GTCGAGAGCCACCTGGGGGTTGCGATCACGAGTCTGTTGTCCACGTAGCGGAGCAGGAGAGTATCTTCAACGGAGCGAAGTCCCGATGTGGTGTGAGTGTTGGTCCAACATTGTTCGGCGACCGCGATCACCATCAAACAGAGAGCTGGGGACGCGGGGGATCCCATCGGTGCCCCACGTGTTTGCCTGAATGAACGAAGGCCGACAGAGAAGATCTGCATGTCAAGGGTGGCCTGAATGATCTCGGGGATGTCGTCGAGCCACAGGGTGCGTTGTGTGGGTTTGTGTCGGCGACGGCGTCCGTTGTAGACGCGGGTGATGGCAGAGGTGTCAAGTGTGTCCACTGTGAGGTGTGTGGTAGAGGAGTGTGGTTGTCGTTGTCGGTACCAGGTTAGCAGTAGTCGCCAGGCTGCTAAGAAGCGGTCTTTGTCGATGGAGGTGAAAAAACCGGAAAGGTCCTGGTTTCGGTAGTCCAAATGGGTGTGGCCGAGGCTTAGAAACTCGTGCAAGGACCGCATGAGTTCAAAGAGGTCGCCACCTGAAAACGCGTCAGGGCAAGCCGTGGCCACCATGCTGTGGAGGAGCTTGGCGAGAGCGTCGAGCATGGGTCGGAAGAAGGCGCCAATGAAACTGATGATGGGTCGGGCAGTGGTCCAGTTCTTCTTCCTCTTCGGGAGGATGTAGGCGTTGGCTGGCCTTCCGAATCCGGTCACGGCCCAAGGATAGCGGCCGCGGAATCTGGTGACAATGGTTTCTCGTAGTCGTTGGTGGATCTCAATGGCAGGGACCGGCAGAGGGGCGAAGATGGCAGGGTCCGCAAAAGTGGCTTCCAACATCTTGCCGTAGAGAACGGGACAATAGATCATGAGTCGGGAGTCCGCATGGTCTTCGCAATGGCGGACAAGGGGTTCCAGGGTATGCAGAGCCCGTTGGACGTGGGCGTGAAGAAAGTACTGTGATGTGTGTGAAAGGTGGAGGTCGAAATGGAATTCGACAATAGTAGTGAGGGTTGATGGGTCGAGCGCGGGTAGGTTGTTGGTCCTGGCCCAGTGTTGAAATGCCTGGGTCAGGCGACTCATCAAGACCCCTCGTGGAGGAAAGAAGGAGTTGCGCATCGATCCGGATAGCATGTGGGCAGTGTCGGAGTCGAACAGCTCATGGGTGTCTGCACCGGAGAAAAGAAGGTGTCCGTCATGCTTCGGGAGGGATGGGTGTCGTTGGGCGAGGTCGGTGCATGTGCAGGTCGTTTCACCGAGACTCCAGGTTTTTGCTGCCTGGAGATGTGAGAACAAGGCACTGGAGAGTCTCCGATGTGCCTTGAAGACAACGCGTGGTTGTGCCATGTGAAACGGTAAAGCGCTGCGAGTGGTAGATCGAATAAACCCGCGAAGTTGGGTTAAAAGCAGGGATCGGAAAGAAGGATGGGCGAGGAAGGGTGCAAGCATCGGTCTGGAGGGGCCAGGTGGAATGAGGCCCCGGAATCGGAAACTGGATCGAATGGCGGAAAGGCATGTCTGGTGGTGTGGTTCAGGCAGGTGTGTGGCTATGCGATGAAGGACATAGAGAGCGGCGGGTGGGAAGTCTCTGCTCCGTATGTAACGGATGGCATCAAATCGTCGTAGAGTGTTGCTGCCAAGATCGCCCAAAAATCGCCACAAATCCAGGCGGTTGTTCATGCGCTTGGCCAGGAAGGCCTGTTGTAGGGCGATGGGTAGTCGTAGTCGGCGGCGTTTTCGCCAGATGGTGGCGAAGCCCATGTGCCGGGATTGGGAGAAGTCCAATTGGCGTGTGAAGCCCGTGCGTGGCCGGAAATGTCTCTCGATGAAGCCAAAATTGAGAGACGGTTGCAGTTCCTGGATGTAGAACTGTTCAGTGGCAAATAGGTCCGTTGCTGGAACGGCAGTGTGAATGGGCACCGAGGTGTAGTGGTGGAAAATGTCAAAATGTGCCCACCACCGGACTGCTAGTTCGGCATTGACCAGATGATGTCGCTGAACTTGGAGTAGTTTGCGAAGTCGGCTGTGGTCCCGTGCCATGAGGGAGGTGCGAGTGGCTCCGAGGTAGAAAAAGGTCTGCCACTTTGGATGGCTGGTGAATCTCAGATAAACCGCTGAAGGGACAAGCTGAGAAGAGAAATCGGAAGCAGGGTTGTCCAGGCCAAGTCGAGTAAGCAGGGCTTTCAGTCTGCCGGAACCACAGGAGAGATGGCAGACGTCAAGTAGCTGAAGCTGTGCGAGTAGCCAGGAGCAAAAATGACGTGCGGTGACGTCATCGGTTGGGAAGAACCGAAGAGTGAAACGGAGGACAGTGAGAAATTGGCAGCAGTGGTGTTGCCAAAATTTGTGCTGCCTGGCTGTGCGTCGTTGTCGGTGTGCTGTTGAGAGTCACTGGTAGAAGTGACTCGCAGCGGCCAGGATGCGGCCCAAGGCCGATGACCCCAGTTTTGATAGGGTTCGCACCGGGATGCCCCATAGCACAGCGGCTCGTTCGAGTTGGGCTCTGGTGTCGGAGTCCAGTGTGGTTGCCCATTTTGCGCAGTCGTTGGACCAGCTTTTTAGGACTTGCTTGCTCTCTTTGCTGGTTTTCTGAGAGGTGATCCATCGCTGGACTTTGGTGTCGGAAATGTCGGGTGGGAAGTTGCTGGTGAGCCATTGGCAAACGTGGGGAGGTGGTTGGAGCAAGTCGCGGGGCTCCTTCCAAGTGGGTGGGGAGGGGAGGGGGGGAGGGGTCGGGGTGCCGCCGTGGGTGGAGGGGGCTGGAGGGTTGCCGCCGTGGGTGGGG